AGGGTCTGCAGGTGCAGCCGCTGCTCGCTCGCCCGGACCCCCGCCCGCACGCCGGAAGCGGGAGGGGGCTGCCCGTCACCAGTCGGCATCTTCCTCTATGTAGTAGTCGGGGGCAGTACCGTCGAAGACGCCGGGGTCCAGCGATTTGCGCTGCTTCCCTCGGGCGAAGACGCGGGAGATGGAGCCGAACCCCATCTTCTCTTTCTTCTTTTTCCGCTTCTGGTCCTCAAGATCCTCTAGAGACTGCGAGAAGAGCGAGGTGGGCGCGCTGTTCCCACACCGGCCCTCGGGTCACTCCACCCTCCTTGTGTGAGCCACCCCAGCCGCACAAACACAGCCCGGGTTCATACGCCGCAGGGGCGCAGGACGGCACCCTCGGCGATGCTCCGAACCCCCATTTTTAAAAAAGTTGTTCCCGGTCCCAAGGAGGACCCCAGAACCTACCTGGACAATTGGGTTGTGCAGGTTTTTCTGTACCGGTCCAGGGCTGTCTCCCTGCCAGAAAAAAGCGACACTCAGCGTGCATTTCAGTAAGGAGCCTGGCCCCCGTGGGCGATGCTGCATGCGAGAGAAGAGCGTTGCCCACAGGGCACGCTCGGGATCCCAGGGAGATCCCCCCTTCTCCAGCAACCCTTTGCTGGATTTTATGAGAGGCACAGACCGGGGGAAAGGCCCCCGATGCTCCCCGGAGCTTTTGGACCACAGTCCCCATCATCCCGCCCAGTTTCGTCGGGCTTGAAATAATCTCTCCTCCTTCAATTAATGGGATCCAGAGACGGAAGCCACGAAGAATCTGCTCTCTTCCGTGGCAGGCGTGGTGGCTGAATGCCCACCGGTCTGAACGCGAGGAGGAACCGCCACCCCGAAGGAAGGCTGCAGCGTCCTTCTGCTTGGAAGACTGCGGCGGCCGGCAGAGTTGGGCTTCACCTTTCCACGACACACAGCTTGGCCAGGAACGCAGTGAAATCTGCCCGCAGGTCGTTCTCGCAGCAGCGACCCCACTAAGCGGGCTGGAAATCACTCTCTTGTGAAATCAGAATCCCACCACGTTCCCAGGAGACCCCTGAGTGCGTGCACCAGGAGAGAAGGGGCACACTTCGTGACACGGGTAGCCCGTCCCCACTGATGTGCCAGGGAGCAGGGGGCGTCACAACCAGCCCGGGTCTGAAGGCATGTCCTGTGCTGCCAGGCTTCGCCAGTGAGTTCTGCCAGAGAGAGGCTAGTGTTTTCAGCCACTCTTTCTCCCCAGCTCTTTTCCCGGGAGGATTATGCAGGCATAACCTGCTAACCGACGGAGGTGAGGCGTTCCCACCCGCGACCGTGTGGGTAGACGTAGCAGGCTTCCTAAAGCAGACTAAAACCCCAAACCTGCTGTCCCACCACAAACGCCGCAGGGGGGAGAGTTCACACCGTCACAGCCTTGCCCACAAGGGCACAAGGGCCCCATGCACCCTGCCCGCTGAGTTCCTTGCCCTGCCCTCCAACTGTGAACAGATGCCGACCTTCTCCTGCTTTGCATGTTTCGTGGCAGCTCTGAGCTCCTCCCTTTCACCCCGTGTCTTAAAAAGCGGGTGCGCCAACGGCAATGGCAAGCGCGTGAGGCCGGAAGAGCAGGGTTAGGAACAGCCAATGACCTGCAGAAGCGCCTTACATTGCAGAGGGAATGTGTTCGGTGCCGTGGCGAGTTGATGTCGCTCGGCGTGGACGACCGATCCCCCTCGGCTGCCGAAGCATCGGAGATGATGGAGGGCTGTCGCGAGTGGCACGGGCTGACCCGGACCGCTGAAACGCAAGGGAGGAGCGGGGTGGTGAGAGGACGCCCACGGGCCGGGGACCCCCTGCTCTGAGTCCAGAATTCACAGAATTCACAGGGATGTGTAAATATCTTAAACTTGGAGAAGATGCAGCAATGGCAAAACTAATCGTATATATACATAACGGAAGTTTAACTAAATTTAAGCAAGAATGACTTCCATATATGTTACAGGTAGTCCTCATTTAGCAACTGCCTCATTTAGCAAACATTCACAGTTACAAGGGCGATGAAAAAGTAACTTTGAGACCAATCCCCGCGTTACGACCTTCGCAGGTCTGTAAAGGAAAGCTGAAGTCAGAATATAAGCACAGGCATGGTTTCACTTAGTGACTGCTTTGCTTAATGACCGAGTTGCCAGTCCCAATTATGGTCGCTAAACAAGGGCTACCTGTATATATTATCCGGCAAGGCAAATACAAACATTTAGAATATGGTTTCTAAAGTTTATGTCAATGAGTATTGTAATTTAGAACAAGCCAGGAGCAAATCAGAAATTAAATACTCATCTGTACTATTTTCAGCGGTGTTTTTTTTCTTTCTTTTTTTTACTATTTATAAATGTAGTGGAGATTTGGGCACTAAGCTTAAAAATGTATTCTTCTTTTTCATATCCTACTTTCCTTGGCATGGCTTATCCTTTAGTAATATTATACTGAGCATTAATTGTATAACCTCAGTAATTCTCTCTCTGCTTTCTGAGATTATCTTTTCTGAAAATCTTTCTTTTCAATAGACAAAATGAAAAAAACAAATAAGCCTGCCCTTTCTCACTGACAGCGCAGAGGGTTGGGGGGGGGGCTGATGCTCCAGCAGACCTTCCTTCCTTCCTAGAACTGGGAACACCAATTTTCTGGGCACAAACTCTACCCCTGTAAGTTCTTTTTTAAAAATGCAAC